TGCTGCAGAAGGCCGCCCCGGGGGTTTTGGCCAACGCCTTGCACAGGGATATGAAGGAATAGGAGGTGGGAATAGCTGATCTGCATGGACGCCAACTGCGAGAAATGATGTCACCGCTGCTGGGAACGCAGCTGGCGTCACCGGTGGCAAGTTGGATGGTACTTCAGTGGCCAGCACAGGCTTTGGCTTTTGTGTGGCTGTACATGGCAGCCCCGAGCCTTCTGGTAGCAAAGCTGGCCCTTCCGCTGTGACCTGCAACACTGTCGCCACTGGCAAAAGAACTGTCATCAATTGTGGTGTCCAGTCCGATTTGTCAGGTTCGGGGTGTCTTGGGAAGTATCTTCCTCTGGTTCTATCCAAGTTCAGACATGGTAGGTCTCCCAACTGGGTCAGGATCACTTGAGCTCCGCGAGCTCTGCTCGAAGGCATCTGTGGCTTCATGTCTAGCAAAGGCGTTGCTTCTTGGAGAAGCGTCCGCTGCAAACAGGTGCTGGGCGTTGGCAGCTCTGTGGGCGTTGGTAGTTCTCTACAACGTTCTATTCTTGGTGGAGAAGGCCAATGCTCTGGTTCTGGCATCGCCATGCCGAGCGACAGATTCACGACGTGTGGCCCCCTCGTCACCGCTGTTTCACTCGTCACCGCTCCAGGTGCACACTGATACCGCAGTGGAAATGGCACTTCTTGCGCTCCAGCCCTGGTGCGGCGCGGGTCTAACTGCAGGAAGAGTGACCCACCGCTTGCATCAAAAGGGGACAGTAGACCTTGCCGTGCACCTGTTTCATGGATGGGTATGCTGCTCACGTTGACCGACTCACATGTTGCTGTTGGGTGCATTGGTATGCTGTCGTGTGGGAAGTGACATTGAAATGGAAGTGCGCAGTCTATGTCGCAGTCTATGCAGTCTATGCGTATGTCTATGCTGTCAAATGGACATCTCAAGTCTGGAAGTTGTGACGACGGCTCTGGCGGCTCGGAGCGTGAATGTGGATCACAGGGATCACAGGGAGAAGGAGATGGCATCAGTGGCTCTGTGTTGATGTAAACAGTGAGAAATTGAGGGGGTGGCGGTGGCAGTGGCAACAAATCTGTCGTAATGGGTGGAACTACTGGCAAAGGAGGTGGAGCCGGTGGAGCTGGTACTACAACTTTTCGTGGACGCTTGTGCATCCCAACGCATGCCAAAATCAGCGCTGCAAGAATCAAAATTGCGACTCCTACAGATATGCAAATCATGCCCGTCAAATCTTTTGCTATGCAAGTTGAGGTTGTGGTTGCCGTGCTACTGGTTGATGTAGTAAAGGTTCTGGTCGAAGAAGTGCTTGTTGAGATAGATGTAGTAGTTGTGGAATAGGTGCTGCTGGATGTGCTGGTACTGGTAGTGGTGATGGTGCCTGAGGTGGTGCTTGAGCTAGAGATTGTAGTTGTGA